GTACAATTTAATCACCCCCCTCCCCCAATGAGAGTATAGGTTTATAGGTGAAGTTTGGGGCCATGCCTCCTTTTAAAATTACATTGCTCTTTTACAACTCATTATTTCCATTTGAATGAAATTTCTTGTAAGGTCAGGCTCTTAAAACCTATATTTAGGCAGCTTCAAAATAATTCATGTGACTCTGATCAAAAATTGTCATCTTGTGAATGTGCAATGCAGAGCTGGACTAAGATGAGGGTTTATAATATTTCCGGTAACACTTTAGTTTAAGTAGCAATTCCTACTAATAACTACTGACTTATTACCTGCCTTCTATTAAGATATTGGTGGTTTAGTACTTATAAAGTATGATTAAATTCTACATCCCTACACAATACATAAACCCAACTGCTGCTTTACAAAAATATAAATAAGCAGCAAATAAGTCATTTATTGAGCTAAACGTCTTAGATAATGTTTTGTTAACAGCGAATTACACTTTAAAATAAAGCATGACCATTTACAGTGCATCCGGAAAGTATTCACAGGGCTTCACTTTTTCCACATTTTTTAAAGTTACAGCCTTATTCCAAAAAGGATTCATTTTTTCCATTAAAATTCTACACATAATACCCCATTATGACAATGTGAAAAAAATATTTTTTGAAATTGTTGCAAATTTATTTATATATATATATATATATATATATATATATATATATATATATATATATATATATATATATATATATATATATATATATATATTCCCACTGATCATTCTTGAGATGTTTCAGCAGCTTAATTGGAGTTCATTGGTGGTAAATTCACTTGATTGGACATGATTTGAAAAGGCATAAACCTGTCTATATAAGGTCCCAGGGTTGACAGTGCATGTCAAAGCACAAACCAAGCATGAAGACAAAGGTAATTGTCTGTAGACCTCCGAGACAGGATAGTCTCAAGGCACAAGACTGGGGAAGGTTACAGAAAAATCTCTACTGCTCTGAAAGTTCCAATGAGCACAGTGGCCTCCATCATCTGTAAGTGAAAGATGTTTGGATCCACCAGGACTCTTCCTAGAGCTGGCCGGCCATCTAAGCTGAGTGATCGAGGAGAAGGGCCTTAGTCAGGGAGGGGATCAAAAACCCGATGGTCACTCTGTCTGAGCTCCAGCGTTCTTCTGTGGAGAGAGGAGAACCTAACAGAAGGACAACCATCTGTGCAGCAATCCACCAATCAGGACTGTATGGTAGAGTGACCAGACGGAAGCCATTCCCCGTCTGAAATTTGCCAAAAGGCATCTGAAGGACTCTCAGACCATAAGAACCTAACTTCTCTGTTCTGATGAGGCTAAAATCAAACTCTTTGGAGTGAATGTCAGACGTTACATTTGGAGAAAACCAGGGACTGCTCATCACCAGGCTAATACCATCCCTACAGTAAAGCATGGTGGTGGCAGCATCAGGCTGTGGGGATGTTTTTCTGCAGCAGGAACTGGAACACTAGTCAGGATAGAGGGAAAGATGAATGCAGCAATGTACAGAGACATCCTGAATGAAAACCTGCTTCAGAGTGCTCTTGACCTCAGACTGGGGCGACAGTTCATCTTCCAGTAGGACAATGACCCACAGCACACCGCCAAAATATCAATAAAGTGGCTTCACAACTACTCAGTGAATGTCCTTGAGTGGCCCACCCAGAGCCCAGACCTAAATCCTATTGAACATCTCTGGAGAGATTTGAAAATGACTGTACATCGTCGCTTCCCATCCAACCTGATAAAGCTTGAGAGGTACTGCAACGAGGAATAGGCAAAAATTCCCAAAGACAGGAGTGCCAAGCTTGTGGCATTATATTCAAAAAGATTTAAGGCTGTAATTGCTTCCAAAGGTGCATCAACAAAGTATTGAGCAAAGCCTGTGAATACTGATGTACATATGATTTTTCAGCTTTTTTATTTTTAATAAATTTGCAACAATTAAAAAAAATCTTTGTTCACATCGTCATTATGGTGTATTTTGTGTAGAATTTGGAGGAAATAAATGAATTTAATCCATTTTGGAATGTTGCAACTTAAAAAAAATGTGGAAAAATTTAAGCACTATGAATACTTTGCAGATGCATTGCTAATAGATTTTAGTTTATATTTTACTTTTTAAGTTACTTTATGAATTTTAAATGGTAAAAATGTGCTATGTTAACAATTATTTTCACTTTAGGTGAGAGATTCCTTTGATTAAAAAAACCTTCATGAAAACTAAAAATAAATAAAGAAATAAATACACCAAAATCAAGTCTTTGATTACTGAGATTAATGAGATTACAATAATGTAAAACTGTAATTGCAACCACTGTAACTACATTTATTATTATTTGAATGTGTAGTTACACAGTATAGGTGCTCTTTTCAGTCTATGTTCAGGTCTGTTCTGTGATCAGTGTCATGTGATGTTTTAGATTAGTTTCTTTCCAAAGCTTTGAAGTGCTTAATCTCATCTGATATCGCAGAATCAATATAATCAGGGGTTTTGAATGAATGAATTGTGCACATCACATGACAACAGGCACATGACGGATAATGACATCTGAGTTCTGTTTGTTTTCTTCCACATTCAATTCGTCAGGTATAGTTCATCTAATGGGCTCAGAGCACAGCTTATATGATCAGAAATCAAGCAAACATGAAGATTCTACAAGAATTGCACATTCAACTGTGGGGTTTTGTAGCTGTTTGTTTCATATTTGTAAGCTTCCAGGTCTTTGATTAATAAGTGATTACACATTAATTTCAAATAGTGCATAACTTGGGGGGAGGGGATTTTATCTATCAGAAAATTATAGATAATATAAGCTGAAGTCTATTTATTAATTTATTTATACTCCCCTGTTCAAAGGTGTTTGTAAGAATTTATATACAGTGTACATAATATTACGATTTCTGAAGGATGTACACCAGAACATTTGCTTAAAATTCTGCTTTTGTATGACATAAATAGATGACATTTCTAAAGTCTATTCTAATAGAAAGTGGTCATTTTAAATCATATTCAACATGTTCACAGTATTACTGATTCGACAGTATTTTAAATTAAATAAATTCAGTCTTAGTGATCATAAAATAATTCTATTTTGTTGAACAGGAAATTCATTAACATACGAATAAGTAGTTTAGTGTAATGAACTCACCTAAAATAACTCTAAGGTTGAACTTCTTTACCTCAGCAGATCCAGAATTTGTAGTGGCATGAATGTTAGATGTCAATACAATGGTCTACAAACCTCACAAAGAGTCAATCTGGAGCAAAGGCTAGGATTTGGCGTGCACTCTTAAACTGGTGTTTGCAATAAGATCTAAGCTCTACTTTTATGCTATATATGGGGGTCTTTTAAAACATTTCCTTTTGTCTTCTTCCCTCAAGCTGAGGCATTCGATCCTTGTTGTGATTCATTCACGTCTTTTTGCGTACTCTAAATACCCACAGAGGTTATCCCAGGGGTAGAGTTTGATGGGGATTCAAATGTTCCGGTGTCGGTCAGGAGGGGGTGGTAATCCCTCCTTAATGACTTAAACAGACACAGAGATCAACTTCTGTGAAAACAAAGGCTGAGCATTTTCATGGGACTTGCTGAATACATCGATATTTTGCCTCATCCTGAACTTTTGCTTCACTATCAGATTTCTCCATCTTATGAGTCACAAGGTGGAATTATATCATCAGGCCTGCTCCTACTGTTACCGTTTGCGTCATTCGTGAAGATGACTCAGAAAGAATCTGACAGCACATTTGATGTGTGAGTAAATCTGCAGATATTTTAGTACACTTCAAAGCAAAATGTTTAAAAAGGTAAAAAGTTTAGTATAAAAACAAGTGTTGTGGTACAGTAATTTCAGATTACTTATTCAAGTTACTAAAGCATTACTTTACAAAGTTATTTTAAAAATATAATGCTAGTTTCTTAGTTTTCTCTTTAATTAACTGTTCTCTGTGTTAAGAGAAATGAACATAAATAAATTAACGTATTAGTTTTTTTTTTTTTTTTTTTTTAACAAATTTAAGTAGATTGAACATTAGGCTGTCTTTAAAAAAAAACTCAAGAATTGTGTTGTTTCAGCTCATTTTAAATAAGTGGGACAGTGCCTATAGCGTAGTGGTTAATGTGTCGACACATGGCACTCCAGTGCTCACAGTGACCAGAGTTTGATTCCCACCTCGAGGTCCTATGCTGATCCTACACTTTCCTGTCTCTTCTACTGTCCTATCAATTAAACAATTTAACAAACAGCAAAAGTCATTTTTTGCATGTTTTGTATGATGTGTACACATAATACTTTCTGTAGCTAAAAAGTGAACATTTATTTACCTCTAACATGCCCCAAAACATAACCCTAATACCTTTAAAATAAATAACTAACTCTTAATAATCACAGCAAAGAGTGTTGGTCTTTCTTTTTATTTACTCTATTCTTTCTGTATAAAGGCAGAACTTGTTTGCAGATTGTTTGAGCTCAACTTTACAGATGTGGGTTTACATTTTCTTCAGCCTGAACATTATTTACTTTTCATTTCCCTTTTGGTTTAAGGGGCTTTACAATTTTCCAAATTTTTTTTTATTATTTTAATTTTAAAGTTTTTATTTATTTATTTAATTAATTTTTTTTTTTTTTGTAGATTATTACTAACAAGCAAGTCCAGCTCAGATGAAAATAGTAATGTCAAAGTAACACAACATTTTACATTCCTTAAAAAAATAAATAAATCTTATTACAAAAAAGAAAATAAATAATAAATAAATAAAAATGAAATAAAAAATAAGAATTAAATAAGAAAATAAATAAAATCTGTTAACAGCAAGTTACCGGTAACATTCTCAGAATTCCTTACATGGGAGATCAAAGTAAAGATGAGCTGTCCTTCAGCTTCCACTCGAAAATGTTCAGTTTACTGTTAGGAAATTGTCTTTTTCATGCGTCATACATGCAAATGAAAAAAAAAAAAAAAAAAGACTGCGCGATGTGATAATACCTCAAAGTACTACCCTATAGCAATCAGAAGACTGGAACCTTTTTTCCAGGTTTAAGGCGGCACTCATGTCTCATCACAAAGGGGCAAACAAAACTGACGTTTAGCCTGCAATCCTTGCACAATCTACAGTTTTACCTGTTATCTCTCTCTTTTTTGTTAGTACCCAATATAAACATGAGATTTTAGAAACCAGATCTAAATTTAGTGGAAATAGTTGGGTCAGGTAGGAAATTATTCTAAGCGAGCAGCGAGTGTACAAAGGCTGAATATACAGTGGGAGCGGTCGGGTGTGGAATAAAACCTAGCGGGAGTGAGACTAAAAAAATCTGTTCCGCACAGACCTCTGCATTGCACAGAGCTTGGACTATCATGTGGTTTTCTCACCATCACCACCACTTGCTTTTGATTATGTTTCCTGTCTAGTGTATTACAAAGTTGCAATGCAAATCTCAGTATTTTTAAGGTAAAGTACTGGCAACCACATACAACTACCTATGTATATCATACATTTTTACAGATTTTTGTTTATACATTGTTTTTCAACCCCCCTAAGTATTTACCTCCAGCTTTAAATTAGATTTTGAATCCCTCTCTTCAACATGGGACCCCCACTGTAGACTGAGGTAATATTTGCCCTTTAGGTTCACAGAGTCCATATTTTTATGTCATGCACAAAAGCACATGATTAATTGTGTGTCTGCAGGGAAGGCTGTTAGACGCAAGAGAGTTAAGGGCACTCAGGTCTAATGCACTCTGACTGTACTGTCAACTCTATGTGAACACATGCTATCTGGAGGCAACCAGAGCAGGACTCCAAATGTCAAGCTCTGTTAAAGTAACTCCAGATTTAACCACTTGTAGTGCTGCTTTGACTACACTCTCAATCTATCTGATTGTTTTTAGCTTTTTCTGACAGTTTTGATTATGTAATTGTAGACCTGTTCAACTGATAATGCAAATATCAAATCATGACAATAACTCAATGCATTTATGCATGTAGATGATCTTTAAAACGAGAATGGGAAATAAAGGTGATTCGACCTTGAAAATGTCAAGCTTGTTGAAGCCATACAGGCTCATCAGGATTTCAGAATTTTCTGATCTGCTGGGATTTTCACTTACATCCATCTCTAGGGTTTACAGGATTGTCCAAAATTTGAAATATCCAGCAAGCTTCAGTTATGTGAGTGAAAAACGCCATGTTGATGCCAGAGGTCAGAGGAAAATGGCCACACCAGTTTGGACTGATAAAAAGAAGGTAGGGTGTCAATGTGTTGCCTACCATTCTTGCTTGCCATCTAAACCACTTTCGTGAACATGATGATGACACGATCATTTCTGTGCGAACAGGGTGTACAGAGGTGTGCAATTACATATTTTGATAAGACACCCTATCGTAATGTTCGGACCAAAAGTTTTGATTTAACAAAGTTTTCCTGGTCCTACACCTTCCACAGAATAATAAACAGCATAGAAATTCATCCAGACCACTTAATTTAATGATTGCTATCAGGATGTGAAAATACTTTCTTCCAACAAAACAAAAATGAAGGCAATCATCTATTCTTTAATTCAAATATTCACTTGTTTCAATCGTGGTTTGCAGGAGAGCATCTCTAAACCCACGACATGTCAAACCTTGAAGCAGATGATCTACAGCAGCAGATGAAGAGCACAGAGATGATACTCCTGTCATCTAAAAACAGCAAACTGAGGCTACAATTAACACAGGCTCAGCAAGAAAATGTAACCTGATATGATGACTCTATATTTCTGTTGACAGATTCAGATAATAGGGATATCATTTGGCATATAAATAAACACAACAACTTGCTTTGTATCTACTTTTATATTTTTGTATCTACAGTTTCTAGCTTTGTATCTACGGTTTAGTCAGTTGGTGGTTTAATGGTTTAAGGGAGATTTTCTTTTCACACTTTGGGCTCCTTATCAACTGAGCATTGTCTAAATCCCACATTCTACATTAATATTATTGCTGACAATTCGCATCCCTTCATAATCCAACAATTTACTGGATAATGCATATCAGAGCTCAAATCAGTCTGATTTCTTGACCGAGACAGAGAGTTCACTATACTCAAATAGCCTCTATGGCCACCAGGGGCTGGATTCACTAGTTTGACCTTCTTAATAATACATATCGGTGACACTTTAGTTTAGGTCATAATTCATGATATTAATACTTGTTTATTACCTATCTACTGTTAAGGTATTAACTGTTAATTAGTAGTTATAAAGTATAATCTTATTGTGTATCCCAAAACCTAAACCCAACTTCTTCTTTAATAACTATTAATAAACAGCTAACTAGTAGCTTATTAGGCTAGTAGTGGTAGTAACTGGTTTTTAATAGTATGAATTATGACCCAAACTAAAGTGTTACTGAAATTTCTTCTTAACTACATTCAACTATACCATGACGTCATTTTAAAATCATCTTAAATAACTTTTTAAAAGTTAAAGGAACATAAAGTCAACTTCCCAAGAGGTAAAAAGTTAAGTTTTACCTCAAAAAATTTTTTTTAAAAATTAAATAATCCATTTAGCCAAGCTCCAGATTTGGAGTCTCCCGTATTTCAGGCCCATCTCCCGCCCATCTCCCATATTGTTTTGTCTCCCTGAAAACTCCCAGAATACCACCCCCCACCCTATTTCCCCCCCTATAGTTTGAATTTGCATAAATCATCAAATCAGATAATACAATTAGCATCTCACTTAAAAATGAGCAAAGAGCTTTGATAAATTCAAAGATTGACTCTTTTTTTGTTGCATCATGTACTAAAATCTACTAAAATGTTGCTATTTTCTAAGCTGATATAACTAAGAACAATACTCTCATTCCAGCGTAATGATCTTTACTGCTGCAGCAGGCACAATATTCCCATCAATATAACAATATAACCATCTCTCACAAATGGCTCCATGGTTATAAGATTTCCAATCTCAGCGTAATATTAAAAAAAAACGTCAAATTAAAAAATGGTAAAACTCAAAGATTAAGGTTTAGGGAACTTATGAAATCATATAGAAAAAGTGCTGGGTTCCTTTTGGGTTACTAGCCTAAAGGTTAAGATTTTCCTTTTGTCAAATATCAAACATGACAAAATTCTAAAACTTAAATATAAATTTCATATATAATGGAGAACCATAGTTTATTTAAAGTAGAACACTTAGCTTGTTAGATGTTTGCTTTCCAGATACTATGTAGTCAACAGCTTATGCCTGATGATTGTTTCTTTTCTTGTCATCCGTGTCTAATAAGATGAGTAGTTTAACCTTTCCTGCGAGTAAATTCTCTTTTGACATATAATGTCATTAAACAAGAGCATCTCATCCGATTCACATTCAAAAACTCGTCCAGGATGTGGCTGTTACACTTCAAAACGGGATGACAAAGTGCAGGATATATGTAGCGGTACTGATTTAACTGTACAGGTAGATATGCTTTATTTATATTAATAAGTAGAAGATAAAATATGCACTTCTTGCAGCCTTCCCAGAATTTATTTTCTAAGAAGATGTTCATTAATCCCAATCCAGTAGAGCTTCTTTGGGATCTGCTGGGACAGGAGATTCGCAGCATGCAAGTGTAGTTATTAATTAATTTTTGATCGTTTATCTCTTATTTATATATTCTCAGAAATAATAATACGTATGTATATTACACATACACTTGTGTTTCAATTTGTAAATCTTCATATTCCAAAAGCAAGAGGTTTTAAAGATGTTCAGCTGGAATATCAATAAGAAAAGCATTGCCAAGACATTTCATGTGCAAGCAGACATGGCCAGAAGGAAAAGTATGAATTAGGGCATATAAATGCTTGGGTGGGCATTGTTCAGGCAGCCTGTCGTGAGACCAGAATAGCATCAACTCTGCTGGCTGCATTTTTGCTTTCCGTGTTGCAAAATGTTATTTTAGAATGACTATTTATATTAGTATTAATGATATGTCCTATTACTAATAATATATTTATTGCTATTTCTAATTACTATTATTCATGTTAGCTCAGATCCCTTAACAGTCACCTTTTAATCTTATATCTGTACAAATTCAATCATTGCGAGTTTCAGAAATGATTTGATTAGTCTATTGTTCATGTTGATTTCAGCATCTACTATTACATTACATATGTAAAGTGTTACTTACTAACAATAAGAAGTATTCAAATTATTATAACTACAGCATTTATTTTAGTAATATAGATAAAAACCTCATTTCAGCGATATAGAATTCTACATCAAATAAAACATTTTAAAAGGCTGTCACAATCCAATGTTTTATAGTCTGTATGAAGGGTGCCCCCTTTTTCCAGAACAGTAAAAGCAATCATGAGGATTTATGTATTAACTAAACTGAAATACGTCCCTCGTGGTTGCTAACTTCTACATCAGATTCTCTGTGCATTAATAAATCTTGGTTTTCACTTGTCATCAGCATCAGAGAAGGCAAACTACATCCTCAAATAAGCTTGTAATGTAAGAGAGCACCATACAACCATTATAAAGTACTGTAATAATTAAATATGCTTTGAATCACCCTGACAAAAGCTTTTTAATATTCAAATAATCCTGTACATAATGTTATGTTATAAACCATTAGACTAGGAGCTAAGAATACACCCTTCAATGTGTTTTTCAGACAGCAAAGGGGAAAATAAACAGTATATTACAGATGTAAACAGTGTCTTAAATGTTTCAAACTTGTCCACCTTTGATCACTCGAATGACCAAAATGAAAATTCTGAGCCAAAACAGAAAAGTCAGAAAGCACTTGGCCGAAAACTCTAACTGAAGTTGAAAATGCGAAAAGTAAAATGATCTCAATAACTTAAATTACAATTATTTAAAAAAGCACAAGCCAATAATCTCTCTTTTCTTGGCAAATGTATTTACAGTGAATGAGTTGATTTTACCAGGGTTGACATGATAGTAGTGCTATTGCAAGCAGCAGGAAAACATATATTACATAGAAATGTTTTATCAACGCATCATTTGAACAGACTTTTCTGATAGTGTGCTCCTCTGCTCTTGCTCTTTGATGACTATGGATGAAGAGAGAGTGAAACTGACGCACTACTCCCAGGTAGCAAAGAATTCTGGCCCAGATTTGGCATAAAGCTGGCACAGCAGGTGTTCTTCCGGCACTGGCATACAGCATGTGGGCAAAACACAGCCCAGGTTTGGCAGAGGAGGGTCAAATATTTAGCCCAAATGTTACAAATAAAATGTGGGCCATATAATCTTGACCCACATTTAAATTATTTTGAAGTAAAGAAAAAATTTCTACCAATCAGGTTGCTTCAAACATTTTTATGCCCATAGTACGCATAAAGTGCAATGCTTCATGGGTTTATTCATTGCATTAGGGACACACCAAAATATGTGGCCAAGTTCAGGTCCACTTAGGGCAGAGGTGTCAAACTCAATTCCTGGAGGGTCGCAGCCCTGCACAGTTTAGTGCCAGCCATGCTTCAACACACTTACCTGTAGGTTTCAAACAAGCCCAAAGGACTCAGTTTGATCAGGTGTGTTTAATTAGGGTTGGAACTAAACTGTGCAGAGCTGCAGCCCTCCTGGACCTGAGTTTGACACCTCAACTTAAGGGTTATTATCTTGGCTGAGACTGATGTTTGGCCCTTGTTTGGAAGCCAGACTTGGTCCAGTCATTTATCGTAATTCACTGTGGCATTTGGGCCAAGCAAAAGTTGATTTTGTAGGCCAGAGCTGGGCCAGAGAATTTTTGGCATGTGGGCTGGGAAGTCTGGTGCAGAAAAAAACTTTTCGGCTCATATTTTTTAACCAAAAAAAAAGAAAAATAAAATTTTTGGCGGCCAAATATTTGGTGTATCTTTACTTTCAGATGTGCTCAAAAACCCATTTGATTAATCTGCTTTCATAGTATAAATTCTTTTGGGCAATTACAAAAGAGCGTCTACTCTCCAGTAACTGACTTAATAAGGATTCAAAACATCATCTCCAGCATGCGAGGTGGGGACAGTAATAAAAACACTAACAACACAGCTCCTTGCATCACTTTCTACAGTAGTTCACCCCTTAAGGTGAAGGAAGTGAAGTTTACTTCTTCAGCTCCTACTTGGTGGCCTTTACATTCACCCCAAACCTCACTCCTGTCCAGGTCACGGCACAAGTACAATCCCTCTGATTCTAATACACAAAGATTTGAATCAGTGTTCCTGATATTAGAGGTAGGTGCTCTAAGGTCGCGCATACTTTTCCATTTTAATTCAATTTTTTTGTACTAAATTACACTGTACACAGGAAGATCGCATTTGATGATTTATTTGCTTCAACTATATGGTCCGATTATCAGGCAGCAACTTGTCAGCTCAAACTATACATGTTTAAGTCAACACATTACATCCCCTTCTTCTATTTCCAACCCAGGCTCATTCTGAAAACGTACCTCTATATACATTTCTGGAGAATGCCAAATATGACCCAGGACCCATGTTTTTTTTTTTTTTGCAGTTTTGTTTTTGCAAATCCACCAGCTTTTTGAGCTCTCAAATTTCTCTGCTGTTCTTGCATAAATACACCAGAGGCCTCTGTTGACTGACTGACTGACTGACTGACTTACCGATTGACTGACCCACCCTCCTCCTTCCCTAAACCCAACCGATAGTGTTTTAAAAAGCACAGATTGACCCGCACACACACTTCTCTAAACCCAACTCACCCTGTTATTTACTTGTTTACTTTATTTTTTGGCCTCTGTTTTTGTCTTACCCGCTTTCTGGAACAATTCTTCACCACAATTAAACCCCGCCATCACGGTAAACTTCTCTCTGCATCTCAAGTCCACCGTAGTACATGGTGAGCTAAAGGACAAACTGGTAACAGTGGGAAAGCTGTCCATACAGAGGTAAGCGCTCAGCTGGTAAGTGCTAAAAGAAAAAGCTTCATATCACTCTGGAGCGTTTGTTTTAATGATCAAATGCAGCCATACAGTCTTCTGGGTACATAATTCGGGATCTCTAGAAATGTATATAAGGCTACATTTTCAGAAAGAGCCTATATTGTCTATTTCGTAAAATGGCCGCTGGCAAATTAGGATATAATTTTTACATTTTTTATTTGAGTCTAGAAATAACACAGTGATTAAAACAACACTCTTTTCATTCAGTACAAATCCTTAGTATAAACTCAAAAACTTTTTTTTTTCAGTACAAATTTGCAAACCATCATGCACACCCAGACACTTTAAATGAATGCCTTCTAAAATCTGTCAACAGTGTTCATTTCAATTGGTCATTTTTCCACTGCTGCTCTATCATCAGGGGCTCTGTGTCAAATGCAGGCACACCCCATCAGCCCTGGTTTGTTGACTCTGGGCAGCAGGGCAGTCAAGGCCAGCACATGGGGCCTGGGCAATGGGGCAGTTGAATGACTGATGCTGAATTGTGCTGCTTCAGCAGACCCACTTACGCCTGTTGTTTCAACAGACACACAAGTGCTGGATGGGGTGTTTCTAGAGGATGTGTTTCATGCTTATATCCATCGAAAAGTTCTATATCCTGATGATCAAATTGAATGATCATTTTTAAATGGCACATCGGGTAAGTCCAAATGCTGTTATAACCTGTTTACTTTAAGCTGGTTTAGATGCTAAATGCATTTTTAGATAGTTTAGCAGAGTGCATTGATTTTCGCTGTATGTGGATCATCAGTATAGTTTTTGCCATAGATGTAATCTTTTGGCTGGGAAAAGATTTCCTCATTATTTTTTTTTACCGGAGATGCTCCAGCATTACGTAAAGCTTTTGAACAATCGCACTAATCAAATCATGCCCATGAGTGAGTTTGTTCTTCGGTAGCTCTGCAATCTGCTACATAATGTGCCTTCAGAATCTGTGGATCTCATCTGGCTGAACGCGGCTCTGTCTCTCAGCCTTTATTCACACACGTGCTCTTGTGTGCTGCTGCTGAACTATTAACATGCCCATTAAATGCCTAATTACCTTCCCTGGGAAAAGAGGTTTTCTCAATCACGATGGCCCCATTAAGTTTAACTGTTAGTGCCAATCTTTTTCAACCTGTTGCAAAATGAAAATGGAAGATGGGCAGGAAAACAGCATCACTGTTTGTTTATATCTGGTTGTCTCTACTCGCACAGCTTTATTGCCAGCCGTTATCTAGTCAGGTTATTAATGAACATTTCGCATGAGGTACACCAACACCCAGTTACTCTTTGATCAAGCACTATCATGCAATATCCGACACTTTGCTACTTATAATAAAATAATGTAGGCCTTAGCAACTATTTAGTCTCTTTTCTTATTCAAACATTAATTCAGATCACATTTTAGACATGAAGACGATGTTTGCTAGCTTGATTTTTACAACTTCCTGTCACATGCATAATCACACAAAGCGACTTTGATCACTTCATGGATGGTGACGGTGGAGTTGCTAAAGGATCGGGCCGAGCGATCAAAAGCTCAGGTCTAGTCGCAGACAAGACGGCTGGATTGTTTGCTATCAGATTAGAGGAAGATGGCCACACTGGGTGGGCAGGTAAAACACTATCTCAGGCTTTTATGGTCTATAAAAGCAACAGAAACTCAGCTTAATGAGTGCTGCACAAAGGTCATGGGAACATTCAATGTTTATATAGACAAACTAGGCTTTTTAAAGAGGTAAACCTGTTATTTTGGGATTTTTGTATGTCAAATACAAAACAAAAGCAATTGGGAACTTAAACCACAGTTATGAAGTCTGTCATTTCAGCCTGATCTCATGAAAAAAAACATAAGTATCTTATGTTTTGTCAGTTAAGTGGCTAATTTGTACGAGTTCAGTCATATAAAAAAGTATGATTTTAAAAAGGAGGCGTGGCACCCAACCCCGCCCCTAAACTTAATCATCATTAGGTGATGAGCAAATCGTACTAAATTGTATGAATTAGATTGTATGAAGTCATGCGAATTAGCCACTAAATCAAAAAATTACGAATTGCCGAGAGATTGCATTGGTAATTTTGCATTCGATAACAAAATTAACAGTTGAAGTGGCAAGCAAATGATGCTAGAACTATGTGGAGCACATTTTAGATTATGGCTCAAAAATCTATGGTCAGTTAATATATATATATATATATATATATATATATATATATATATATATATATATATATATATATATATATAGTAATAATAATATATATTTTTTTCTATTAGTTGGTTGGTTTGTTTATGCTTACCAAAGCTGCATTTATAAATCGGTAAGGCAGTAAAGCAAGCAATCTAATGACAGTTTATTACAATTATTTTGTTTTTATAATACATTTTTAAATATTTATAATATATTCCTGTGACATCAAAGCTGAATCTGTTTTCAGTCACTGTCACATAATCCTTCAGGAATCAACAATGAAAAAAATTTAACAATTATGATGAAAGTGTAATTTGATATATTATCATTATCAATGTTGTTGGCTGCTTAATCATTCTGTGGAAACCGTGTATACACACACACACACACACACACACACACACACACACACACACACACACACACACACACACACACACACACACACACACACAATTGAAGTCAATATTATTAGCCCCCTTGTTTATTTTTTTCCCTTAATTTCTGTTTAACTGAGAAAAATTTTTTTTTCACTACATTTCTTAACATAATAGTTTTAATAACTCATTTCTAATAACTGATTTATTTTGTATTAAAGTGACATTTAAAGGCTTAACTGGGTTAATTAGATTAACTAGGCAGGTTAGGGTAATTAGGCAAGTTATTGTATAACGATGGTTTGTTCTGTAGACTATAATTATTTTTTTTTTTTGATGATGATGATAAAAATGTCCAAAAGCATGTTATCTGAAATAAAAAACTTTTGCGAAACAAAATACTAAAAGCATTTACTGTCACTTTTAATTGGTTTAATGTAACTTTCATGCTGAATAAGTTCTTATTAACTATATGAACAATCCAAAATACATGATAAACACATTAATAGTGATAAATATTGTTTTGTTTTTAAAGCAACTATCTTTTTTCTGGGAAAAACTGCTGTTTCAACTGTTCTTGTGCTGTCCTTCCGGAATATAAATGCAACTCTTTTGTTATATTCTGCAAACAACACCATACATTATTAACCATGGCTTGTGTTTCTAAATTTATTCTGATGAGGTATATTTTTCATGCCTGTTGAGGCTCGTACATTTTATTGACCATTATGTTTCCCATGTACACATTAGATATACATGTACTAAAAATGCTTTTTCCCCAGAAAGCCTCAGGGCAGAATTCCCAGCAAAAGTTAGCAGGCAAATTCCAAGTCCAGGCTGAATGAAATTCCCATGTCATGTCGTGTTCCCTACTAGTCGTCCAACCATCCCCCCTCCTCTCTCTCTCTCTCTCCTCCCTCTTTCTCTTTCTTCCATACTCTCTGCTCTCCAGAGCTCCATTCTGACTCGTCTGTGTCCGTCAGAGCGGTGAATATTTCTGCCTTCTCCGTGTCACATTCCAGCTTCCAGAGCTCTTCCTAACTCGGGTTATAAAGAGAAGCATCTGCCCTCTGCATTTTGAACACCTTTTATTTTGACCTCTGCTGACTTTTGCTGCCTTCTTTTGAATAAGCAAACACATTCTACAGGAGAGTTTACCTTCCCACTTTTACCTTCATTAAGGTCTTGAGGACTTGCATGGATTCTCATGTACACGGAGGCTCTTTTCTGCACAGGAATACCTCAGCTCTGATGTGTTTGCATGGATAAGAGGAAGAACTGAATATACTGGGTAAGTTTGAGTGAGCGTATTAGTGTATCAGGAGCAGTTGAAGTTTTGGGCTGTGTTATGTGTCACGCTTCATTCATAATTTTAAATAATTCTATGAAAATTATTGTATATTATATATATATATATATATATATATAGATTTTTTTTTTTTTTTAATGGTATATGAGTAAAATGAAATTTTAAATGTTATCATGGTATTTTTTTTTGTTATCTAAATGGTTTTAAATGTCCAAAACTGTGTAAATGTATTTACAGTGGTTTTATGTCATTATTTTACTATTATTAAGCTAGTATTTATAATTAATATTAATAATATAACTGTAATTATATGCCTTATGTATTAAGAAATCACCGTAGGGTCATAATTAAAAGTCTTTTCCTCATCAAATGAGTGTATTTGATGGCATTTCCACATCTTTGGCCCTATACACAGATATGATATTTATTTATAAGCTAAAGCTATGAATTATGAAGGCTTTTATAGTTTTATTGGAGCACAACAGCATCATTTAAAGACACTTTCATAGCAAGACACACCACTTGTCATTATTGCAGGGATTTTGTTGTTGTTCTTGATGATGATAAATGAGTCTTTTCAACTGCATGCGAGTAGATTCTCCTCACTCACAGGTGTAGTTTAGACTTCATCTGTCTCAGGTGGGCTTTGTGAGAGTGTCGTGGTGTGGATGAAAGGGAACACCTTTGCACTCTGCATTCAATAAAAGCTGTTGAATGACTCTCAGGGGCTCTGGACTGTGTTTGAACAACAGCACGCTCGCAGATTTCCTTTAACGCTTCACATTAGATTGATGTCTTTCCTCTTTCAGAAGTGCTGGACAGGGTCAACATCATCCCTCACGCACAACCAGACACCCGCAGGGGACTCAAACTAAACCCAAACGTTCATTATTACTCTTTGTGGACCATTAGTTGATGCATAATGCACTGGCTATCATACAATAACAACCAACCTTTGTCTGTCACTCAGCAAGCATGCTATTTAGCAATATTTACAACTGTCTAATAAGATTCCCAATAGCTTGTTATATTAGAAGAGAAATTTTATGATGTTTGATATGTTGCTTTTTGTAGTAGGCATGCATGATATCGGTGGCCATATCGATATCGGCCGATAAATGCTATTATTTTATTTTATCCTTATTAGTCCAATAACAAAATTGGGTTGATAACTTTAAGCCAATAAATGATGTATTCTTGAACCACTTCATGTGCTTTCTGCTGGCTATTAGAATTTTGATGGTCACTTCTGAGACATCGTAAATGCAGATTTGTGTGATACAAGAGCTAAAGCTGCTATAGAGTAGATATAAGCGATGGGGGAGTTTTTAATTATGGAAAAAGAGAGGACTTGCAGTCTGCAACAGCACTTCTCTGACGTTTCACTAATTCGACTCTATTTATGTTTCATTTATTTGACAGGCAATACATTTTATTTACATACAGTTGGCCACCGCAATGAATAGTTAATTAATAAAGTTCAGAGATCAGTTCAAAGCTTCTGAAGTTGGAGTTTTACAGTACAATTAGTTGTTCACTGTATAAATTTGTGTTTTGTTTTTGTAGTCATGCAAAAAAATTTATATTTAGGAATAGATATATGGTTTGGGGAAATAATGAAAAATGTGACACTATTTGGCAACCCTTCCTCTTAAATTAAATACAAAAATAATAATAAAATAAATAAATAAATATATATATAATATAGCTGACCAATTTTCCCTGCCCCTGGCTTAGTTATGAATGGAGAGTGTTTTATTTATTTATTTATTTATTAATTTATTTATTAATTTATTTATTTATTTATTTATTTATTTATTTATTTATTTATTTATTTATTTATTTATTCTGCTGCTGTACCCTTTTCATATTTGTATTCATATATTTTTTGTATTGTTGTATGGCCTAATATGTTACTTTTATCTATAATGTTATTTTATCTGTCTTATAATAATAATAATAATAATAATAATAATTACTATTTGATATCATTATTATTATTATTACTATAGTTTTTAATTGGTTTTGTGTTTTTTTTCCCTTATCCAGAGAGAAAAAGAAAAAGGAAATGTGAGAAAATTGTGTTCTGCTGCTAGATTAAAGCAGTTGATGTCTAATGATTCTATGAAATTGAGTTAAACTACAAAAAAAAAAAAACATATTTAAATTTATCAGCCTATATATTGGCTGTATGTCTCCAAATTTAAAGAATTATCAGTTATGAATATCGGTAACATTTTCTATATCGGTGCATGCCTAGTTTCTGCCTTTTTTGCCTCTTTTTAATTAAAGATAATTATTGTGATTCTACCATTTTTTAAAGAAGCTTAAAATAATAATAAAAATAGACTTTTCAGAGTAACAACTCTTAGTCATATTCAAAAGCACCATTGCTCTGATAAGTATTCTTAATTTATGTGTTAAATTTACATGAATACATTAAGATTTCTTAACATGTGGAGTGTTAAGTCTATATTAACATGAACTTTTTTTATTTAGCAGATTAGCACTAAGAGTAATAACACCAATTATAGCCCCCTAATTACTGCATATATTACAATATTGTTAATTTGGAATTATCACAACATTAAATGATGCTAACTGATACTGAACTTGAAATGCTAAATATGTATTAATATGTGTAAAAAATATACATACATATTATGACAAGGTCTCATTTGTTAACATTCATTAATGTGTTAGAAAACAATAACAATCAGCAATACATATTCTACAGCCATTACTAATCTGTTCTGTAATTCTTATTATTTTTTTGTTTATGTCACAATACAGCATTAACAAATGGTAACTGGTACTTTATATATTTTTACAAGTGTAACCTCACATGTTGAAATTACTATTTACTTATTATTAACTACTAGGTTTACTAGATTTACTTATTATTAATTACTAGGTTTGACGTGGTTTGGAAAAGTGAAGGTTTTTAAAACTACCAGAATTTTCGGTTATATCGTTCCTACAATATATGTACAGTTTTTAATGTGTTTTTAATGACTTAATGTTTTTTGGGCAACAGTATCTCCAGCAAAAAAGGACCCTCCACATCAAAAGCTACTGTTCCAAAATATCCTAAATGTTTCTTAAAATTAAATATATTGTTCAGTGGGGGTAAAGTTATTGTTTTTTACCCAGATATTTAAAAAGAACAGATTTTAGAGCAGTTTTCACAATACTGTTGTACTGCGACAGTCTCGTATTTTGTCTCAATCTTACCGGTCCATAAATGTTACAGAATTAATGTTTGTTATTAATTAGTAAAATACTTTTTAGTCAACTAATATAGTTTAGTGTCCTCTAAAAATGCTTGGCTCAACTCAATGTTGGGTCACATATGAACAAACCCAACATTGGGTCAATTGAAATAACCTTTTTTAACCCAGCAAATGAGTTGGTCCATTTTTGATTCAATGTTGAGTTAAATAAAGCCCATCATTTTGTTTAATGTTGACAAAAGAATCTGTTTTGTGAAGTCTAACCAAATGAATATTATTAAATACTTTAAAAGTACTATAATTAATGTTAGTTAATCCATCAACACCAGTTTACTTATTGAACATAATAGTAAATTGCTGATGCAAACTATTAAAGTAGACAGTAATTGCTCAGCATATAAACACATTATCACAGCTCCATTTACCTCAGTCAGGTTGCTAGGTATTATATATGTTTTTTCTAATGGCTTTACTAACAGTAGCTTCTCTGTGCGTCAATGGGGAGGAAGTGACCTCCGTCACTCATTCCTCTTATTTAATACGTCCACCCACAAAGAGCTCAATGTTTGCAGCGTAATTGAACTATTAGCTAATAGCTATTTACACAATTGTTAGAGTGTGATGTGCTTGTGGCCACAGACCTCATGACTAGAAACAATACTTTCACTCACCTTTAGAGACGGTCTCACTTTAAGAGGCTGCTGTCGCCTGCTCTGGTTCTCGAGGGTCTTTAATAGAAGGACCAGATGTTGGCAGGACGTCCTGCAACTCTAGTGGTCTCAGACAGCTGCCTTGTGTCAGCTCCTGTCCCCGTTCCCGCTCTAGAGTAGTAAGGCTGGAGCCAGTGGCCCTGAACACACACACACACACAGGGCGGCATTGTTCAGTAAAACAGCCCGGACGCACAGCATTCAAGCAGATCTTAGGTGAAGTAGATGTAGGAACTTCAAACTGAATGGCCATGTTGTTCTAAACCTGCATGACCTCCTTTCTCCTGTGGGAGCACAAAAAGCAGATATTTAGAATAATGTTCCTACTGCTTTTTTCTGGTCATTAAAAGAACTTGCTATATTTACTGGAACATAAAATGCATTTTATTATCTGAAATGTACTGTCATTTATTTTAATAAATAATAATATATAATGCATTAAACGTCAAGCAAGTGAAAATGCAAACTTTCTTGGATTAAAAAAAAGTATAATCAAAAAGATCCCAAAAATTCTCAATAGTGTTAAATTGAAAATACTTGTTGAGGAGTGAGGGGAACTAAAATACAGTTTTTATTATTATTAAATCGTCATATGATCATAATTTTCACTTTTGAATGGTTTGACAGAAAAAGGTATCAATAACAATAATCACAAGACTGAATTGAATTAAATTTTTTTACAGATTTTAGACAAGCTGTACAAAAATACAAGTAAAAATACAAGTATCCCATACATTTTGAAATAAAAACTGTCAAGTTTCCATTGTGGTCCTCGCTGTTAAATAAAATAAATTATGGCTTCAAAAAAACAGTGATGCTTAAACAAACAGCACCTTCACATTTTAAAACAGGAACAAAATAATTCACAAATACAATTATTCCTCCATTCATTCATTTTTTCAATCAGGGGTCGCCACAGCGGAATGACCCCCAACTTATCTAGCATATGTTCCACGCAGCGGAACATATTTTTCTCTTTAGATTTGAAACAGCGCACCATTTTTTCTCATTTCAAATTGTCATGTTGACCATTTTTATT